ATGGCTTGTTCTTACGTATTATCACCAAACGCAACCAAACTCAATCTCTCTTTAGCTCCGTTAGATCTTGACGCTCCTTCTCCGTCATCCTCCGTTAGTTTCAAACCCAGACGCCGTAATCTCTCAACAAACTCCGTCACAGTCACCGACTCTCCTTCTTTATTGAATTTCCCAAATTACCCTTCTCCAAACCCCATAATTCCCCAAAAGGACACTTCTCATTGGAACCCTCTCCAACGCGCCGCTTCCGCCGCCCTCGACTTCGCCGAAACCGCATTGCTTTCGCGTGAGCGTTCTCAACCGCTACCTAAAACCGTTGATCCTCGCCGTCAACTCTCCGGTAACTACGCTCCGGTACCGGAACAATCGGTTAAATCCTCTCTTTCCGTCACCGGTAAAATCCCTGACTGCATTAACGGCGTTTACCTCCGTAACGGCGCTAATCCACTCTTCGAACCAATCTCCGGTCATCACCTCTTCGACGGTGACGGAATGGTTCACGCCGTTAAAATCACTAACGGAGACGCGAGTTACTCGTGCCGGTTTACTGAAACCGAGAGATTGGTTCAGGAGAAACGAATCGGTTCTCCGATTTTCCCTAAAGCTATTGGGGAATTACACGGTCACTCCGGTATCGCTCGGTTAATGCTGTTTTACGCACGTGGTTTATTCGGTTTATTAAATCACAGTAACGGAACCGGTGTTGCTAACGCCGGTTTGGTTTACTTTCACGACCGGTTATTAGCTATGTCTGAAGACGATTTACCTTACCAAGTTCGTGTCACCGGAAATGGCGATCTCGAGACTGTCGGAAGATTCGATTTCGACGGTCAATTGAGTTCTGCAATGATCGCCCACCCGAAAATCGACCCGGAGACGAAAGAGCTATTCGCGTTGAGCTACGACGTCGTTAAGAAACCGTATTTGAAATACTTTAAATTCTCGCCGGACGGTGAGAAATCGCCGGACGTTGAGATTCCACTAGCGAGTCCGACGATGATGCACGATTTCGCGATCACGGAGAATTTCGTAGTGATTCCTGATCAACAAGTGGTTTTCAAGTTAACCGATATGTTTCTAGGAAAATCACCGGTTAAATATGATGGAAATAAAATTTCCCGGTTTGGGATTTTGCCTAAAAACGCTAAAGATGCAACGGAGATGGTTTGGATTGAGTCGCCGGAGACTTTTTGTTTCCATTTATGGAACGCTTGGGAATCGCCGGAGACCGACGAAGTGGTGGTGATCGGATCTTGTATGACTCCGGCTGATTCGATCTTCAACGAGTGTGACGAGCAGCTTAATAGTGTTTTGTCTGAAATCCGGTTAAATCTCAAAACCGGGAAATCAACACGCCGAACTATAATTCCCGGTTCGGTTCAAATGAATCTTGAAGCTGGTATGGTAAACCGGAATCTACTCGGGAGAAAAACCCGGTACGGTTACTTAGCTATAGCAGAACCGTGGCCTAAAGTATCCGGTTTCGCTAAAGTTGATCTTTCGACCGGAGAAGTTAAAAACCATTTTTACGGCGGTAAAAAATACGGAGGTGAACCATTTTTTCTACCGAGAGGGTTAGAAACTGACGGAGAAGATGACGGTTATATTATGTCGTTTGTTCACGATGAAGAAAGTTGGGTATCGGAGCTTCAGATCGTTAACGCCGTTACGTTGGAAATAGAAGCGATCGTTAAATTGCCGTCAAGAGTTCCGTATGGTTTTCACGGAACGTTCGTGAATTCGGCTGATATGTTAACTCAGGCTTAGTAATGACGTAAACCGAAACCGGTTATAGTTGGTTTACTGTGCATTGGCAGGT